AGAAAAATCTTTATCGATTAAATGTCACTCACTGGATAGACTAGAATATTGTAAGAAAGTTTTTAAATCAAACGATTTTAAACTTCTCACTTTTAATATACGTAGTCTTCAACATAATTTTAATGACTTTTTGGTAGTCCTATAGATTAAACATTACATATGACGTCATCGTTCTGACTGAATGCTGGCTACTCGAGAGCTTAGTAATTGTGCAAATAGCCGGTTATAAGTCCTTTCATACTAAAAAGTGTATCAATAAAAGTGGGGGAGTGGTTGTTTACATTAGGTTGGACAAGTGGATGCCCTCTGTGCAGGAGCCCACCTTTGATGAGACAAACTGCCTTAGGGTTGACTTGGATAACTCATTGTCTATACTATGCATATATCGCTCTCCCTCATTTCACAACTTAAACGGCTTTCTACAATCTTTGGACAGTACACTTCACAGCTTACGGGATAGGTCTTGTGTAATGGTGGCGGGTGACTTAAATATCAATCTGTTAGCTAACGCCACTGATTTGCAGGTATCTGATTACTTATGCCTAATGGCTTCCCACGGGTTGTTGTCAGCCATTTCAGAGCCTACTAGGGGAGATACATGCTTGGAACACATTTTCATTAAATGCAAACAAGTTATTTCAGCAGCTGTATGCAAATGCTCCTTGACTAATCAGTATATGCCTATGGTAGGTGTGAGCTTTGCTGAAAATAAATCTAAATCGAAAAACAGGTACAGAAATATTGTTGATATTGGCGCAATTAATTTGGACCTTTGCATTATGAACTGGTCGACAATAACTGGCTGTGAAGACGTCAACGAAGCCACTTTTAATTTTGACCAGATTATATAATCAGCTGTAGGCAAACATACTAGTAAAGTAAAATTGAGTCGCACTAAATACAGCATCAAACCCTGGATTACTCCCGGGCTAATGAAATGGATGCGACACAGAGACCATTTGCATAGTCAGGTCCGTGCGAACCCCAATGACGTCGTGCTTAATCTGACCTACAAACGATATAGCAACTTTTGTAATGACCTGCTGCACCGACTCAAGGCTGAGAACGAGAATGGAGAGCTAAAAAACCACAAGCGAAATCCTAAAAAGCTTTGGCAGGCAATAAAAAACGTTTGCGAGGTCCCCCAAAAGAGTAAAGATTCTGAGGAACTTTTGAAAAGTGATGTTGACATCAAGTCTTCATTAAATTTCTGTAATAGTTATTTTCTCTCCTCCGGTCGAAAATTGGCTGATCAAATCCTGTCTAAGCTTTCAACCTCAGAGGTCAAATGGAGTGCTTCCGTTGGGACTCCCAATCCTCTGCTTAACTCTTTCTTCTTTAAACCAACTGATTCATTGGAAATCAAGAGGCTGATCGAGGGTTCACGTAATGATAGTGCGCCGGGGGTTGACGGATGTACCCCTCTTCTTATTAAATCTATTAAAGAGTCAATTTTGATTCCTCTTACTCATATTTTCAACCTTAGTCTTAGTAAGGGCGGATTTCCTTACAGATGGAAGTGTGCGGTAGTAAGTCCGATTTACAAAGCTGGACCAAAGAATAATCCGGATAGTTACAGGCCTATATCGCTCCTAACAATCTTCTCAAAGCTTCTTGAGAAGATAGTTAATATCCGTCTGCTGAAGTATATCGAGAAGTTGAAGCTAGTTTCTGATAGACAGTTTGGGTTTAGGGTAGGGAAGTCCACTGAGGATGCTATTAATCTGCTGATAAATCAAATTTCATCGAAGGTGGATAGTGGTAAATGTAGTCTTGGTATTTTTCTGGACCTTTCTAAGGCCTTTGACACCGTGTCTAGACAAATATTGTTGAAGAAGCTCGAAGGTTTTGGAATCCGCGGTACTGCTAGGAATTGGTTTCAAAGCTATCTCACTAATCGATACCAAAGCGTGCAAATAGGGCCCGATCACACAAGTTCCCAGCTTCAGGTGACCTTCGGCGTGCCCCAGAGCAGTATTCTCGGGCCGACCCTCTTTGTTCTATATATGAATGACCTTCTAGAAGTCAAAATACCTCAGTGTGAAACAATTTGTTACGCAGATGGACACTGTATTCTTATTTCATGGTCGATCCTGGAATGAAGTAAGAAAGCTGGCGGATAACGGTATGGGTCAAGTGGATGGGTGGCTGAATCGCAATTTGTTGACACTTAATGCGAAAAAATCCAAATACATGTGTTTCCACAAAACTGGTGCATCGAATGCGTTGATGCAGAACGACATTCCAGTCCATACTTGTGACATTCTGCAACATTGTGACTGTGAGGGTATTGCGAGAGTGGAGACGATCAGATACTTGGGTGTAATTGTTGACCACATTCTTTCTTTCAAACAGCATATCTCATACCTCTCAAATCGAGTCAAGAAGGTTATTTACATAATGAAGTTGCTCAGGAACTGTGCTGATAAAAAGACACTTCGTATGGTTTATTTTGCCCTCTGCCAATCCATAATACAATATTGTATATCAGCTTGGGGTAGTGCCTCCAAAACCTCGATGTTGCAGTTGGAGAGGGCACAGAGAGCAGTTCTCAAGGTCATGTATAAAGAGCCCTACCGGTACCCTACGGCCGATCTTTATCGGGATAGCGAGGTTTTGAATGTACGCCAGTTGCATATTCTATCCGCAGTTTTAAAAACCCATGGGGCAAGTAATTCAGTCGCCAATTTACAACAACCTAATCACTAAGCGAATATTTAAAATCCCAATTCCGGCTGCCAGGTCTGTTTTCGCGCAACGTCTTCCGCAGTTCTCACATCCTCATATTTATAACAAAATACTTAAAGTCTGTGACATCAAATATTGCACCACCTTGAAAGCTAAACAAATAGTAAAAAGATATCTCACCACACTAAATTATAATGATACCGAAAACTTAATATTAAAGCAAAAATACCAAATTATATCTACGTTTCACACTGAAATATTGTATTCGTATTTTTCCTAGGAATAAAAAATAAGTATTAATATAAGCGACAAATAGTTAAAAATTATCTTCCTAAATTAAGAAATAATTTTTTGTTCTCTATAATTTGGGCGTACTTTTAATTACGTAAGTAAAACTGATAACCGTACTCCTGGTCCCCAAGATACAGGCTATGCCTAGTTTGGGGCCCGCCAGTAACTTTTTTTACATGTAATAAGAATTTATATGTAATTAGTATTTAATAAGTTAAAATTAATTTAATGTAACTCACTTTTTTCCCAATGTTCAGGTCTGTAGCTCTATTTCTAGGAATAAATGATTTTTTATTTATTTATTTAACATTTCATGTGATAATACATACTTACTTTTTGGCACTCATTTTAATGTAAATAAATCGATTTGAAGAACAGAAAACGTTATTTTATTTGTTTATTGAAAAACAAACACTAAACTGTCAAAATCACGAGCAATGATAAAAACATAATGACTTGGTGAGTTTGTGACTTAGAGTAGACATCAAATTAGATGTATTTTGTAGTTTTTTTTTTATAATGGCAATAATTGCAGGGATAAGTTCATATTATCCTCTTTTATATACTGTGGATATATCCACCATAGGCCCATACTCGCAGGTTGGATGAAACTCTGGCATAGGGATAAGATAATTTTATCTCTTGTGAGTGAATATAATCGTGGGATAAAAATGTTGTCTCCTGCCCCTGCTAGCCCGGCAGGTGAACCGTATGCTCGTTTGCCCCTCTCCTATCTACACTCATAATATTATTAAGAGGAAAAATTTGTTTGTTAGAATTGAATAGGTTCAGAAACTACCGGACCGATTTCAAAAATTCTTTTACCATTGGAACCTACATTATCTCTGATGAACATAGGCTATAGTATATTTTCAAAAGAGTTAGGGATCCGTATGAAAAGGTCGTTAATGTAACCCACGGCGTGAAAAAAATACCAAAAGAATCCTTATATCGCGTACGCTGCGGAAAATATTGACAATAGAGCAATGTAATGTACTACAGTTTTATAGAAAGTATTAGTATCTACAAAAAAGTCCGCGATGCCATATGTCTAATTATTACAGTTATGTCTAACTAACTACTTTTTCATGTTAAAATAATATGCAATAGTAACGCCGAAAAATTCTTATATCGCATACACGGCGGAAACTATTGACAATAGACAAAAATGATGTGCAACAGTTTTATAGAAGATATCAATATCTACAGAAAAGTCTGCGATACCATATATCTAACTATTACAGTTATGTCACAAAAACTACTTTTACTTGTTGATATGTATATGTAACATGACCATTTATTTTTTGACTCAAAACGGGACATGGGTTTATTTAGGTCAATAAACAGGTAGTAAATAAAAAAAACTTTTTTAACCCTACAGCGCATAGTGGGACACATGTGGCACATACCTAAAAAACCTCTATATTTCCGTACTCGAAATAAGTAGCGTCATCTAGTCAAAAGTAAACTAACTATAAAGGAATGGTCAATCAAATTTAGTACTAAAATTTTTGGTTAGATGTCTCTGAATGAATGTTTGTTTACATTTTGTTCAAAACCAACGGTATTTTGAAAGTGATCGACAGGTTGCGCAAGAAAAAAAACAAAAAAACTGATAAATTTGAATAGTTTGTATACGAAATAATTTGTAAGTAAGTTTATGTATCTATTTGTTATTTTTTTAGTTATTTGTAATTTCATAAATAAATAGTGCATAAAAATACGACATTTTTGTATATGACAGATGTGGCACACGATGCAATAAGTGTCTTCAAAATATTTGTATTGTTTCTAGATGAGCCGAAGGAAAAATTTGAATTCTGATGATATTCAATAATTTCTCGAAATTCCTTCCGGTAGTGAAGATGACCTGGAACTGTCTGATGAGGACAGCGATGACGACTTGATCAGAATCCAGGATTTGGTGTTGAACGAAGTGGAGACGTGACGTACGTGAAGTACTACAGGATGATTTCTTCGATGAGAACGTGAGCATACCTAGTCCAAGGTCAAGCAGTAGTATGTTAGTGATTCAGCCAACAAGCAGTTCTTCTAACACAGCCAACGTTGCATCACAACCTAGTACTTCCAGGCAAGTAAATCCTAGATCCAGCCGAGTAGCATCACGACCTCAAGCAGTACCTACTCCCCGCATCATTTCACCTTCCCCACAGCCTGTCAGGCCTGCCAGGCCAAAACCTAAGAGAGAATACATACGGCGGAAGATGGACTTTCAGCCACCTGATACCACATTTACTGGCGTTGACGTGTTGGAACAACCATATACTACATTTGAAACACCTTTGCAGTACTTTTTGCACTTTTTTGACGACGATTTGTTGGATCACATTGCTGAAGAATCTACTAAATACAGCATACAGAAGGATTGCTCAAAGCCAGTTTTGGTTACAAAGACGGAACTCAAAAAATATTTAGGCATCTGTCTCTTGTTAGGACTGGTGCCACAGCCAAACATTCGCATGTTGTGTAATTCTATATTAGGTATACCACTTATAATTGAAACGATGACACTCGGTAACTTTGAAAAATTACGAAGTGTCATACATTTCAATGACAACATAAATTACAAACCTAGAGGAGAGCCAGGACACGACAGACTTTTCCGTATTAGACCCTTATTGGAAACATTGAGAAAGAAATGTCAAGCTGTGCCGAAACGAGAGACACTTTCAGTGGATGACCAAATGTGCGCTGCCAAAGCCTGCAACTTCCTCCGCCAGTATCTCCCGAACAAACCTCATAAGTGGGGATACAAGTTGTTGGTGTTGTGTTATGATAAAGGTTTTGCTTATGACTTTGAAATCTACTCCGGCGCAGAAAATGATCCAGAGTTGAGGCTGCCCGACGAATGTGATTTAGAAGCGAGTAGCAACATTGTTGTACGCCTATGTCGCAGTGTTCCAAGAAATCAAAATTATAAGATCTTTTTTGATAATTATTACACGTCTCCTGAATTGATTTCTTACTTGGCTAAAAAAGGCATTCATACATTAGGCACCGTAAACAAGGGTCGTATGGGGATGACTTTGAAAATACCATCTCAAAAAGAATTGACGGCCGCTAAAAGGCCGCGCGGCTATTCAGAAGGATGGGTGGCTACTGTTGATGCAGTACCAGTCTCAGCAGTGCTGTGGCTAGACAGCAAATCTGTTGTTCTCGCATCTTCTTTTGTCGGTGAACAACCTAAATATAAAGTAAAACGTTTCTGTAAGAAACGTAAACAATACACAGAAGTCAACGCCCCAAATATTATTGGACATTACAATCGGCATATGGGCGGATTAGATCTCCTTGACTCTTTCATAGGAAAACACAAAATAAAAATGCGTACAAGAAAGTGGTACATGAGAATATTCTATCATTTGCTAGATGTGATGCTGATAAATAGCTGGCTTTTATATAAAAGAGTAGAGACGCAGAGGGAAAACACAAAAATGATGAAGTTACGAGAATTCCGACTGGAGGTGGCCAAAGCATTGTGTTAGTGTGGACCGTCAATAATAAAGAAGAGAGGAAGACCCTCCTCATTTGTATCTGACATGCTTGATGAAAGAATCAAAAGGAAGCCAAAACTCAATGTACCACCAAAATAAGTCAGGACCGATGGAATGGAACACTTTCCTATTTGGTTTAACATTAGGAAGCGATGTAAGTTACCTGCTTGTAAGGGGAAATCTTTTGTAATTTGCCAGAAATGTAACCAGGTACTCTGTCTCAACAAGGACAAGAACTGTTTTTTGTCATTCCACAAATAGTTTCGAAATTGTTGTTTTTGTTCTATATTTTATTCTATTTTTCACAAAAAGTTCCTAGTTTTATAATTATATATAAGTACAAATACTTTGATTGTAAGGCTCCTTAACCTAAGGTTAAATTTGTTGTTATAATACATAATTTTCATGAATAAAGTTTGATTACTATGAGTTTATTTCATTCATAACTATTCCTAAAACATTACTACGGATTTACATTATACTGCACGATGTGCCATATGTGGGCCATACGAAAAAACTTACATAAGTATGTTTCTATGGAGTTGCGATTTTTTTTAAATATTTTTCCGAGCTATAGTATTATATTTTCTAGGTAATATATAATTTTTTAAGCCGAAAAAAAAACTTTTTAAAAATAAGCTATTCTTTACTTTAATATATATATATATATTTCTCACATTAACAAATTTGCTTTAATAGAGCTGGTGGTGATATATATTGCTCTTGGCACCTTTTTTATATTCACCTAAATTATCAATATCGCCTTTAGAACTGAAATTTGTAGTTCGTCGGCAAGAAAGCAAGTCCACTACTCCTTCACGGCTTGTTTCATAAAATTCTGTAGCCGCCCTTTTCACCAATTCTTCATCTATGTCAGTAACAATATCTTTCGATTTGACGGACCGTAAATGGAAGAAACTGATTGGTCTGTTTCCGAGTCAAATTATCTTTTAGTTGATTGATTTTTTTGCAGTTTCAATAGCCGATACAGTCTGAACTTCAAGTTTCAAAACAGCTTGATGAAAACTTGCTGACTGAGCGTGTAAAAAATAAAGCCATAATTCGAATGTGGGATCTGCAAAAAAGTTTTTTAGTAACAACAAATTTTCGCGCGGTTTCAGAAAACGGGACAATTTTGCGTCCCAGAGTTCGTAACCATAAAAAGGGACAGTCCCGTTCAAAACGGTACGTCTGGTCACGTTATGTATGTGCAACAGTAACGCCGGTACAAACTAGGCCACATTATTCGTAGGTACCTTGGTACAAATAAATCACTTCGTATTCAAGGCTGTATGTATCAGTGCTTGTAAAAAATAAGAATTGAATTTTGAGTAAAGTAATTAAAAAACTTAGTAAACAAATAATAATGATACTTGTAATGCTCATCTTCTCAAACATGTCGAGTCTGTATAAAAAGATATAATTTAATATGAAGAAATAATTTGCAAACACTAAATGGAAATAATTGCTTAAGATAAAAACAAGTCAGCAAGTAGCAACGTAAACAATAAACATACAAAACTCCTCTAGATAAGACAAAGATCTTACGATCAGATTTGGTGATTCGAAGCTCGAAGCCTATGCCTCATTACCAATAACGAAATCAAAATAGGTACTTAACGATTAATTTATAAATTATCGGAGCGGATTCCTCGGACCAGCTCTTCACCTCGGGTTAAGCATGATAGTTCCTGTGGTCATCGTGAGTGACCACGGTTACTAAGCCCCTGGCATGACAAGGCGAAAAACCATTTGGAAATCCTAACGTAAGATTAAGTTAAACCTTAGTATCATACTAAATACATTACAATAGAAACATACTTATTTAGTATGAACATACTGACACAATTTTTACTTCGCCTCTCCGAGATAATGTCTTGCTGTGTTGTGTAGTGATGCATGACCAAACACATGCGAATCGCATCACAACTTATCCCGTATCTGTCAGAAATGAGAGGTCAGTGCCAGGACGTATATAGACCATAACTTTAACTTAACTTTTATTTAGTTTAAATTTTAAAATCTTTTACTCCGAAACCACTACACTAGCCCTTTTAAATATAACTCTTCAAGGTCTTATAAAAAAGTCATGGTCATCGCGAAAAACATTATACAACTACCTATTTTTAATCGTAGGACTTTTAATAGTTTATTGTTACAAAATCATGTTTATATCTTTTACATTTAATACGCTACAAACGTCATTGAAATAATCTTATCTGTGAATGCATGTGTAAAGTTATAATAACAAGTTCGTATTGTAAAAACAAAAAATAAAATAAAGATACCGCAAAAAACTAATCTTTTTTTTTTGTCTTGGACCTGCCTGTTATGTGAATGATTATTTCTATAAAATAAATGATTATAAAATTACACACTACATGTAAATAAAAAGTGAGCCAAGTCGTTACAAATGAGGTTCGGTGTTATCGGATTTAAGCGGGTCGCAAGTTCATCGCAGATTAAAGATTATCGAGTTATTACTTTTTTGGGTCACCCATGACCCGTGTTGTAATTAATGAAACATTATTATTATTTAACTTTCGTTACTTTTAACTTAATTTTTTTAAATCCCGCTTACATCAACTTCACTTCTTCTAAGAAATTAAACGTTAGGTATTAAAGACACTCCGAATAAACTTGAAACCAAAAAGCTTATCCGTTTGATTAAAAAAAATCTATTTTTATAGCTAATCTTTAACTATTATGTTAAATGGATTGCGGCTTACATACATTATATAATACTATGACATTATACAAACTTTGGTAGTTCGATAACAATATAACCGTTATCTCGATATCTTTATTTTTATTAGAGCACAACCATTAGCAAATTTTCAACATTTCTATTAGCAAAGCGTCATAGAAATGCTCATAGTTGATTGTACGACACACGATCCAACCTATATTACGTTATTGTGGACTTTGGAACCGCAATAGATGCGTACACAATACGTTTAATTGTTTATGTATCTCTTGAAATACATAGATCTAAAATTAAAGCGCTTATTACACTATACAATTTTTAGGAAATCTAATTAGGAACCTAAGTTGGAAGCTAGTGATCACACTACACTAAATTGAATTCTAAATCGTGACGAACTACATTCGTAAAGAAGTATCGACGGGGTTGCACGTATGATCGATGGCGCCGTATTTATCAAAACAGCAGAAAATAGGACTTGCCTTAGCCGTGGTGGGAACAATGGATATTAAAAAAAGAGAAAAGAGAACTTGTCATTGAGAAAAAACTGTCCAATATGAATATAATTATATATTTTTAGATTCTAAGCAGATTTTTATAGGATAGGGTGACAAACTAGCACACAGTCCACCTGATGATAAGTGGTCGCTGCGGCCCATAGACATCTACATCTATCTCCGATTACAAATCAAAATGCAGATGCGTTGTCACCTGTGACGACTAAGATGGAATGCCTCGTTTCCAGTAAAAAGGGTCTCCGGTTCTCTACACTCGCCATACGAAACACAGCAACATTAAGCTACTATTTTACGCTGGTATTCTGTGGGAGCGTGGTCCTTCCCCGGTCGAGCCGACCCATTCGTGCTACAACTATACTACTAATATAACTGCAGCATGGCTCTACCACCTATAAACAGTTTGAATATTTGTTAAGTTTGGTATCCAAACATATTGAAAAAGAAGTCACGATATTTCGATAAAGTGTGAGTACCAAAGAATGTTTGATGGTGACATTACGTTTTATAGCCACCGGAAATTAATATTAAGATTTAAAGTACTGCTCTCTGATATCAGACTTCTATCAAAACTTCAAGACATCCGCTTGTATCAAAGCGCGGGCGCCGGCTGGTTGTTCTAAATCGTAACGTTGCGATTACAATGTCCTAAATTGTAAACAATTTAGGAAGTAGAGCGATTGGGACCTCCAATTTGACTAAATCGGATCCCAACTGTTCTAACTACGATTACACCTTCCTATTTCCTAATTAGATTTCCTAAAAATTGTATAATGTAATAAGCGCTTAAGGATTATGACTTTTAGTAATATAAATACATAACGTATGCATAAATAACTTCTTCAATTTAATAATTCTATCTACCTGTTGAAAACATTAGAAACATAAGAACAAAGAATGAAACGAAATAACAAATCTTATGTACATTAAATAAACAAACAAAACATGATATAATATGTATATATTGCTATGATGTTGTTTCTCGTTTACACCGAAATAGTATTTTCGGTTAATTTCTCAGTTTCAGTTTTCTAAGAACTTTGAACGCTGACGAAATCCGTAATGATATTGACGACATAACAGGAAGAAGGGCGTTGTGCTATTCTGGTCCCAGCTAAACGCGTAATATGCGAGCCATTCATAATTTTATACATAGTTAACTACTGTAGTGATGACCAAGACCACCAGACTTGAAACGCTGTTTGCATTGAGTCTGGTAAATTTGTAAATATAAATGTAATACTGTGAATTATGATGGGTAACAGTAAATTTTCGTAGAATATTTAAAAATAAAACCTTACAGCAGCAACTACTGTTGATAAATAAAGCACAAAAATATGTAAAGTATACCAGTGCTGTTAAACGGATATTCGGATACGTGGGCGTCGCGTCGTAGGATATATTATCAGATACATGTTAATATGCTAATTACTATTTTTAGTAGTATTTTTTCAAAACAACATCAGTATTTTAGTGTGTTATCTCAAAACTGTTTACAAGGTGACACTGCACGAAATGTGGGAATTGTTTATATAAATTTATATTACGTATTTTGTCTGCAACACGAATGGGACGGCTCGCCCGGGAAAGAACCACGCTCAATCAGATAGCAGTATATCGGTAATGAAGCTGTTTCGAATCGTAAGTAACCAGAACCGGAGAACTTTTGAACTGGTGACGATGTATTTATTCCATCTAAAACTTCAGGCGTAGTAAACGTATTTGAGCTTTAGATTTTTATCGACGACAGATGACGGTATCTGTGGACCACAATATCCACTTACCATCAACTAGACCATGAATTCGTTTACCACCACAGAAATTTTGGAAGTAATCGAGCGCTAATTCATTTCTATTGGCTTATACAAGCTATTGTAAAATACATCACTAGCAAACCCATATGCAGGATGTTCTACCTAATGTCGTCATCGCTGCATCGATATAAGTCTAGATGTGAATAGTTAGAATAGGTGAGCTGACATTGACCTAAAGACATGGCGGCAAGCCAGTTTAAACATATTTCCGAGTGTGTTCCTGCTTGATTTTTATTTGGTACACTTTCTCACCGCAATATCAAACAATAATATTACAGTTTAAGAAAAGTCAAACAGCCTTGATCAAGAGCTCTAGTGATTCCACTGAGGTTGAGTCATGAAATTATTATTTTGTTATCGGTTTGCAAAATTTCAGATTATTCAGACGTCTGCGAGCGTAAAAACTAAATAACAAAATTCCATTACATTTATGCATACTGATACAAAGATACACACACGCTGATATAAAGCGTGTAATTTTTGTTTTTTAGAGAAGAGGGGTACGAGCATGCGGCTCACCTGATGGTAAGTGACTACCGCCGCCCATGAACAACCGCAACACCAGGAGAATAACAGATGCGTTGCCCGCCTTTTAGAAAGAGTAAGCTCTTTTCTTGAAGGTCCCCTGGTCGTATCGGTCCGGAAAAATCGCCGGTGGTAAACTATTCTACAGAGAGGTTGTACGCGGAAGAAAACTCCTTTTGAAACGTACAGTGGTGGACCGCCAAGCATCCAGATGGTGTGGATTGTATCGGGACGTTTGCCGCGTAGTGCGTTCACGAAATTTGGCGGCTGGGATTAATCCGAACAATTTCTCAGAGCATTCCCCATGGTATATGCGAAAGAAAATGCAAAGAGATGCAACATCTCTTCGCAGCGCCAGTGAATCCAGCCGATCGGAAAGCACTCGGTCGTCGACGATTCGAGCCGCTCTGCGCTGGATGCGGTCAAGTGGAAGGAGCTGGTACTGGGGAGCCCCAGCCCAGAGATGGGAACAGTATTCCATGTGCGGCCGAACCTGCGCCTTGTTAAGTTGCAGGCGGTGTGCCGGCATAAAATACTGTCCCGCTCTGCTGAGCACGCCAAGCGTTTTAGAGGCCAATTTGGCCTTCTCTTCCAAGTGACCACGAAACTGCACGTCACTCAATATGTCGACGCCGAGGATTCCGATACTGGCTGAGGCAACAAGGGGAGTGCCTTGAAACTGAGGAGATACGACAAAGGGGTTCTTTTTAGCGGTTAACGCGCAAACTTGTGTCTTCTAGGGGTTAAACTGGACTAGATTAAATTATTAGATAAAATCATACCCTCACTTTTTTATACAGCAATATTGATGCAGTTACTTCTGCAACGGCTTAGGCACTGCGGGAAGTGCAGCCCTTTCGCCCTTGCGTAGCAAATCACAGGCACCCATGCTCGCCTCCGCAGCTTCGGCTCACTTAGGTGCCTGTGATTTGCTACAGCGGGGGGGGGCTGCTCTTACTTGGTGCCTACAGCTTTACAAAAACACTCTAGGGGTAGGGGAGACAAGACTATATGGAGTTGAGGTGTGCTAATTCGGTTTCAGAACCGATTCAAACAATCTTATCTATAAAGTCTGGTTGCCCTAAAGTCTGCTATGATAGTGATAAATGATATAACGTAATGTGAATTGTTATAATGTTGTTTTCTGAAAACTCTCTTGACTGCTCTCCACTGTGACTCAATTTGCTGTATATAAGTCCCATCTTCAGTCACAAATGGATTGTCTGGGTCCGAGTGATTAACTTTTTTATGATTGTATCTGTGTTAAAAAACAAATTGACATATTTGCCTTTTGTTATTGCAATTTTTAATGAAATTTATTTTTATCGTAATTAATACAAAAGGCATTGTAAATGGTTCGAGCTTAACCCTGACAATCCTCCTAAATTGAAAACAAAATTAAGAAATCAAGTACCGGACATCTACTTGATAATAAGAGAACAAATTGACATATTTGTGTTTCGCTATTACACAATTTTAAGTGAAATTTTTTTTATCGTAATTAATTCAAAACGCATTTCCAACATCTAAAAACAGTGTAATAGGTTCAAGCTTAACCCTAACAAGCCTCCTAGGCTAAAAACATTATCAAAATCAAGTACCGGATATCTATAGCAAACCCCAGTGGACAAGGCTTCCGAAAGGCAGGATAGTATTTTATCAGACCCCTTATCAGATGATGCCAAACTTAGTGTTAGTAAATAAGAGATTAAGTAATTAAAAAGTTTATTCATTTTTCGTTTGCAACTACCAGGGTGTCATAAACGCATCAGTGACAAAACCCTTTTTCTAAGAATAAAATTATAAAAAAAAAGCAAGAAATGTTAGAAGTGATGTTAAAAATCAATATGGGTTACAAAACTGTAATAGAAAAGAAATCCGTTAAAAAAATTGTCCATTAATGATGAAACAAAGAAGTATGAAGCTGGATCAAGCAACAAAAGAAATAAAGAATTTTATCTTAGACAAATTAGTAGAATGATAGCAGGTAATTAGCAACACTATAAATATTATGGTGCATTAACAATATTATTTGAAAATAAAATTATATTTTACATACCAAATGATAGTGTTGAGTTAAGTGGTTTAAAGAACTAATTTTTACCAAAATGTTATTTAACCAATTGATTAATTTAACACCAAATGATATTATGGGTATTGATATAAAGATATTAAATAACCCCCAGATACTGTTATCCCAGATAGCTTTGCTTAGCTCTAAAAAAATAAATTAAGTTTGTAACCTACTAGATAAACTTGGAAAATAGAACATTATCTAAATACAAAAATTCATTGTAAATTGAAATTCTGAAAAATGATAAATATAATGAAAAGTGCATTAACATAAATATTACTAGCATTTTTAATTCTTTGACAATATTCACAGAAAAAAGTTGCTTTTAAAACAATGGTAAAAAGTACAAGTTTTATGATTTATAATTATTTTTATGCTATAATGAATAAAAATTATTCTATTCTATTAGTTTTTTACAAAAATTGCCTGCAAGAATGAAAGATAGGTAGTACAAAAGTAAAGGATTTTGAAGTTTATCATTGAAACCAATCATTATCTCATCATTAATCAAAATTTATTTCACTAAAACAAATTATTAACCATTAATGCTAGTAATTCATTTTCCTTTCTTCATAAACTGAAGCATGTTTAACAACAGGTTTCTAATATTATTTTATTCTTGAGATTATGTCTCAGCAGACTACAAAAAGAAAATATTTTTATACCTATTTAAGAAGAGTGAACATGGAAGTGAAGTACTGATTCTAAGTTTATTAACCCCTTAAAAAAAATAAGGGCTCGAAATTAAAGCTGCTCCACCGATCGACCTTGGGGTCGAATTAAGTAACTGTACAGTAGATAAAGTATAGTTAACTTACCAAAATCGATAAACTGCTTAATAGATAACGGCGATGGATTAAATTGAGAATAAAAATCTAACATTTTCGTAACATTAGTAAAAATTGTCCCCGCCAACCTCATTTTGCAAGTTTTATGAACAAACAATAAAAATATAGCTAAGAAATAAAATCTAAAATTTCACTTCAGTAAATTATAATTCACGAAGTAATAAACACTTTACACTTTTATCACAAAGCTATTTCAATAACTTAAAATCCTAAGTAAAGAAATACAAGAAAGTACAAGAATAGCAACTGTCTACTCCGATAAAAAGATAATTTTAAACTGTTTTGTGCTTTATATTTTAATATACTCTCACAGGATAAGGACAGGAACCATAGATAACAAGAACAACCTTCTCGTCTTTGGTCTCGAATCTCGATGGAACGTCAAACCATAGATTACTGAATATACACAGTAATCTATGACTGAATATATACGTCAAACTTACCTGTACTCGTATACAGAGAAACCTATATACAAATTGACGCCTTCTTTCGCATTCGCACACGAAAAAGATAGGTTTATGCATACGTCTTGCATAGAAATGAGACAGAGCGGTGTGATCGCTTGTCCCTTTCTCCGTGCCGGTTTTTTTGTTTAGCAAACTACACTTTGCTAAACAACTTTGACAGTTCGTAGCGATATAGGGAGTTTACAAGTTGGTTTAAGTGAGAAAAAAGTGTTTTGTGAGCTTAAGATTGGTGAATCTTGTTCAGTTCAGTTCTTAGAACAATTAAAAATTTTTATGTGCTAATTATTAATATAATTATTAATGTGCTAATGCGAAAGAAGGCGTCAGTTTGTCTATAGGTTTCTCTGTCTACGACAACATAGCTAGATCTTTTTGACAGACGTCAAGCAATCGAAATAACTTTGCAATGACGAATGTAACATTTTCTTATTTTAATAATTTTGAAAATTGTTAAAAAATTTTAAAATAGACACATAACACAAAAGTATTAAAGATTCAAGCATTTTCCGAAAATCTTAGTGATTTTTATTTTTATTTCTTCAAAGTAAGATTTAAATAGGAAAACTGAAAACTACAGACGCTCGTGCAATGTTACCCCGGTCGGTCGGATGGGACAAAAATAACAGGCATTAACTGTTCTTTGAGTATTAAACCAAAAAGGGCGGCATCGCAAGATATACCCCTTTGTAAAAGTTACGAGAGTCCGACTCATGCCCGTTATATAAAACTAGTTGCTCAGCGTCATGCACCATTCCAAAGTGATCGTGCCAGGAAGTTGAGCTCAAACAAAATGCCGAATTGCAGTGTATTTACATGCAAAAAACAATCAAAAACGTCAAATCTACAAAAGGGCAACATGACATTTCATTTGTGAGTATTTTTGACATAATATTCAAGTGATATTATCATCAAAACTCGTACTTTCTGAATATTTTCGTCAAATACCAAGTGTGGCCATCATAAATTATAAAGTGAAAAATAATCTATTTTTAAATAAATATAATTTACTACACAAGTTAATTATATTAACGAAAATGTATTTTCTAATAACTAAACCTTTTTGTGATGAATAAAAATCATTACATATAGTTGTGTAGTGGATTTTGTTAAATGATTTATATATTTAGCTCAATTTCAGCACGATTATGAATATTATATAATTTAATATAATTTATAACTAGTATTTATCAAAACATTATACAAAATAAAGGTCAAACAAGTTAAATTAAAACTTGCTACTACTGAAAGTATTGAACTATAGTGATGTACGCCACAATTTTAGCTATCGATAAGGTAATTAACCATGCGGGTTTGTCTGCCGTACCGGTTTGTAGTTTTAATTTAAATTTTACAATAAAGTATTAAAAAAGTAGTAAATTTTCTGTTATTGGTTTGTTTTGACAGATTTCCAAGAGATCCTCTTAGGCGGCAAACTTGGATTGCAGCTTGTAGCAACCATGAATCTCGGATACCTAAATAGACTAGCACGATTTGCTCCGAACATTTTGAAAAATCATATTTCATACCCCAAGCTAACAATAAAAGAACGTTAGCCAACAATGCAGAACCAACCTTGAACTTGTGGGAATTAATGTGGTCACACAGTTATTAGATTGCCACCCTATCACTATCAGTATAATGCCATAGAACTGATATGGGCACAAATCAAAAGTCAGTGAAAATGCGTAAATATTTCTTTTTTTCTTAATAAATATTATAACACATTTGCAGTAAATAAATTTTCTTTTTTTTTCATAAATACTATAACATATATTGCATCAAATAGTATTACTTTATTCATCACTTATTTCATTAACAGGATATGCAGCACGCAACAACATATCTCAAACAAAATGCTCCGTTAGTTAGAAGAAGCTTGTGGTTGTGGACACGTGAAAGATGAAGTTTTGTCTGACTGTATGCGCGATGTGAATTTTCGTTGAAAACGAATTACGATGACACAAGTTCCGATAACGACTCTGACGATGAAAATCTTGCTTGTGCTTGTCTTCCCGATTAAAAGCTATGTTTTAAAGATAAAATTTTATTTTATTTTTCAACCTTGATTTTAACTCAATATTATATGAGTAATATAACCCATCGTCGCTTACCTACCCAATTTGTTTTATATGTCTAGTGGAATAAAGTTGACTGATGAATGAATTAATTTACTTTCAATATTTTAAAACATACATACAGTCACACCATCTCGTCACAGTTACAAATACCTATATAAAAGCGTTATTATTTGACTCATCTGTCAAAAAGATCAAGCTATGTTGTACAGAGTATACCTATATTGACCAATTGTCCGGTACCACCCGACTAAAAAACCTTTCTTCCCCATAGGTTGTCGGTTCTTCGAGCTATAGGTATGGCCGGCCCATTGCCACTTCAGCTTATTAATCCTTTGGGCTTTATCGGTTACTCTGGTTCTACTTTGGATATTCTCGTTTATAAGTTGTTTGTCATCCTTGGTATGTATAGAAGAGTAGTGTATATCCAGGTAGTCTATAGAAGAGTTAAAGCCACTACTGCAGAAGCTGTTATTTGGAAATATTTTATTCTTTTAGTACTTTGTCCTTACTTTTTAATAAATAATTTCCTGACTTATTTGAGTGAATTAAGAAATAGCACAAGCATAATATAATATAACTAGAATGTCTTCATATTAATTTCATTAATTATCATCACCTTTTTCCCACCCTGTGAATACCGGCGTAAAATAGCAGCCTAATACTGTTGTGCTTCGTATGGTGAATGTTGAGATCCGGAGACCCTTTTTACTTGAAACGAGGCATTCCATCTTAGTCCTCAGAGGTGACAACGTATCTGCGCTTTGATTCTTAATCGGGGATAAATGTAGATATCTATGGGCCACAGCATCAACTTCCCATCAAATGGACTGTGTGCTCGTTTGTCATCCTTATTCTATTAAAATAACCCGCAGGGGTAAATTTTTAGTCCAAATTTAATCAATACCCGCTCGCTTCTATATTATTGCAGCAAAATATCAAGTGTTTTTTTTATGACACTATCGTAAAATCCATTCTTAGTGAGCGTCTACATTGCGAAATGAGTAACTACACTAAATTTGAAGTCAATGTGGTTTATAGTTTTAGAGATATCGTGATGAGTCAGTCAGTCAGCGGTATTACTTTTATATAATCATATAACATCATCATCATCATCATCATTACAGCCCTTCACAAGTCTACTGCTGAACATATCTGCAGTAAAACCAGAGTGACATACATAGCGCAACGGATTAGTAAGCTGAAGTGGCAATGAGCCGGCCATATAGCTCGAAGAACCGATAACCGATGGGGAAGAAAGGTTCTCGATTGGCAGCCTCGTACCGGATGGATGCAGGTTGGTTCAAGGCTGTGCTTTGCGGCATTACTTGGGGGAGGCCTATGTTCAGCAATCATATTATATATATATATATATATATATATATATATATATATATATATATATATATATATATATAGGGCTAGATAACAACGGTGCATACTTTGATTAACTAAATATATAATTTGATAAAACACAAAACGCCAATTTCATACGTAAGGACCTATTATATATATAATAGGAAGGGTGGGAGGAATATAAAGTCAATTTTATATTTTATATTTAATTTATCAAATTATATATTTAATTAATCAAAATATGCACCGTTGTTATCTATGCACTTTTGCCATCTCATAGGTAGTTCATTGATCCCTTTACTAAAAAATCCATGGAGCGAGAATCAATAAACTCTTTGAAGGCAGTTTGGACTGCCGCATCGGAGTTGAATTTTTTTCCTTGTAAGAAGTTGTCCAAATTCAGGAAAAAAAAGGTAATCTGTTGGAGCAAGTCCAGGGAGTACGGTGGATGTCGCAGATATTCCAATCGTATCTCATCTAACTTAGTGGTTGTTTTTTGTGCAGTGTGTGGTCTTGCATTGTCGTGAAGCAGCAGTGGCCTAGAGCGATTAACCAATCTCGGTTCTTTAGCAGCTAATTTTAGGTTTGCAGTTGCTGACAAATAGATATCTGCCGTAATCGTTTGGCCAGATATTAGAAAGATGTAGTGAACGACACCGACACTAGTCCACCAAATACTCACAAGGGTAAGAGGTGCCGATCGTTCAAGTTTTTTTTACTTTCCCGATTTTATCCGCTTCCACAATAGCCTTTAATTCTTCATTTTCCACTATGGTCTCCGGCCGTCCACGGGGTTGGTTCTGAAGGTCGAAATTTCCAGAAAGTTGAAACGTTGAAACCAAAAACGTACCGTGCTTTCTTTTGCGACACCAGCACTGTACACATCATTAATCCTTCGAGCTGTTTCTGCAGCACTGGTGCCACGGTAGAACTCGTACTCGTAAATATACCGATATTTCATGTTTTCCATTGTGCGGTAATAAGCGACACCAAAGATGAAAATAATAAGGAAAAAACAAATGAATGACTGTTTTCAAGCACTGACCAATTAGTACAAGTACGCTGACAACCCAATTTGAACCAATTTGAAGCACCCCTAACGGTCATCTTGGAAACTAAAATTGACATAATATGCC